TCCTGCTGTCAGCTGTCTTCGTGCGACGAGGTGGTCGTTTGCTGGTGCGTCATCTGGGCGTTCTGCTGATCATGCGGCGGCGTCGCTGCGTCCGCTACAGATGCTGGCGGTGAATGTCTGTGAGTGTCCGCGCCTCTGTGCCATGCAGCCCTGCTTGGGTCACTGTGCTGTTGAAGAGCCTGCGTCGGGAGGCCAGCAGGTAGTGTTTGTTGGTCAATTCCTGCTTGTGCGAGCTAAGCGTCGCCCACGTGGCCCTCTGCGCCATCGTGGGCCGTCTTGGATGCATCTTGTGGACAATTCGGGATCTCGAGAGGACGACGACATAGCTCGAAATGAGCTGAGGACCCTTGCAGAGCCCTCGCGCCAACCAAGTCGAAGGCATAGGTAGCTTTCAGTATGGCGCGCGTGCTTGTGACGAGCGCTGTGCATTTGGGATGCAGCGTAATTAGCACGCAGGCGAATTGCGATGTTGAGCTTCAATGTTCTTGCAGGTTGCCCAATCAACCGCCTTTTGAGTCTGATCTTAGCTGCTTAAGCCACCAGCGTTGCACGAATCCAGATGCTGCTGGCCAGGAGCTGTCCCAGCCAGCTCACACTTACTGTGAGGGGGTGGATCGCGGTTTTGAAGGGAGGAATTCTGCAAGCGAGATTGCCACAGAAGCCAAGCAATACCATCCAGGCATGCCAGGGGCGAGGCTCGTGGGCAAAAACATGTCACGTACTCGTTCACGTAGGGCTCGCCCATGGGCTACTGTTGGCGCTGTCTTGGGCGAGGACTTCGCGTTTGATGATTTGATGGCGTTATGTATAGACAAGGTGTCGGACACGATCTCACATATCACAGTTCTGGCACCGTTGGGGGTCACAGCCCAAAACCGATTGGACGACGCTCGCGGCATTTGCGAAGATGCCTTGCAAATGGCTGGTTACGAGCGTGCACGGTACTTTAGAAAGATCGGCATGTTCCTCGAACTAGATGCGACAGCTTGGTCCGAACACTTACAGCATGCACACCATGCTGCGCAGCGTGCTCGGGACCGCTTCAACAGGGAATCGGGGGCCCCTGGCTTACGAAGCGTAAGGCGTTGTGGGAGGAACCTCGTCGGTTAGAGGTCAGGCGTGGGTTCGGCATTCGACTCACTGGTGCTAATTCTCGGATTGGTTCTGTGGTTCCCAATCGGTTGGAAACTCGCACGCCGCCACTTCAAATGAGCATGGTGCCAAATGTTACGGGTCTCTTTGCCGGGCGTAGTTGTGTGCTTGAAAACCTGACATGTTTGAAAGTCAGCAGAAGACCTGACACAATATAGGCTTTGTGGGTGCCCGTATGCTGGCGGGGCCACATCAAAGAACACGGCGTGATGCATGACATTCATGTTGACCAGACACATCAGGATAATTGCCCCGTGTATCTTAGGTTGCAATGGGCAGACACCGTAGTGCCCAGGACAAGGTCGTCAGATTTTGACTTGCAGACTGCTAACAACCCAACAGGGTATATGGCATTCTTCGAGAAGTTCAGCGAATGTCCGGAGATTCGCTGGCCAACTGACGTTAACTAACGCGCTAATATTCTGACAAAGTGGTTTCACACGTGTGCGTCCAGCATGTACCCCACAAGTACCACGGACACAAAAAAACTACATCGAGGAATAATCCTTGTGGACGATCAAGGTTCGACGTCTGGTTCGCGGTGCCCTCCGGCAGTATAGAAAACTCAAACCTTGGGGAACGTTTTGTGTGAGTGGCAAGGGTTTGAGCCCTCTTTTTTTTCGCACGGCAGAGAACAATCTGACGAAAACCTCGAAACGTCTTGGCCAGAGGTTAAAGTCAGCAACGACTCTCACTCCTCCCAGGGTGTGGAGGGAGGGAACCGAAGACAGGCTATGGAAGGAGAGAGAGAAAGAGAGAGAGAGAGAGAGAAAGAGAGAGAGAGAGAGAGAGCAGAGTGAGAGGAGACAGGAAGCTCCGACGTCGCAAACCCTTGGATCATTGCAAGTGGCTTCGAGAAAAACACTTGTACACATCACTACATTCAAAATCGTTCAGCTCAAACCGTTCAAGAACAAAGAGAGCCTTCTTTTTTCACGCGGCAGAGAACAGTCTGACGAAAGCCTCGAAACGTCTTGGCCGCCGAATTCGGGAGTTCCCGGGGGTGGGTTAGGGCGGGGCTGCTTGTTATACCCGCAAGCAGCCATCGATGAGGCAATCCGAGCCGGGAACATGCAGTGCGCAAGCTCTGGTACGCGGCTGCTGGGCGAGTGCGGGCGCTGCTCCCCAGCTGGAGGTGGGGCCGTCCCGTTCGGGAGCACTGCCCTCTACGGCCTCGGCACTTTCTACAGAGGTCTCGCAAATCGTCTTCAACGACATGACAGAACATCAGGCGGGTCGGCTTCTTGCATGTAGCTTTGAACTGGCATTGGTCAAGTTCTACCAGCGAAGCCCCCGACCGCCTAGCGAGATTCTGACTCTCGGGTGTGTACCGCAATCTCGATGTGAGCGGGTGCTCCAGTATGGCAGGTATCTTATTGTGCAAAAAAAAAAAAGCGATGGCAGTTTTGGCCAGCTGGCTGCGCAAGGCCACCTTGCCACGATCCTCTGAAGAGAGCAGGCTGGCTGACAGGCCCCACGGCTGCTCACTTGACCGGATCTTGGCCGCCCTGTCCCTGCCCGCTGAGAACCCAAGACAGCTTCTGACGGCGTCAGACGGGCCAGGAGGCCATCAAGACGGCCCAAAATGGCTATAACATTGCCCCCCAAGACGGCCCAGGAGGCCCCCAAGAGGTCTGAGAGAGCGTGATCCACCGCCGCCTTGCTGTGGAAAATTCCCCCCCTCCCCCCTTCCTCCGGAACCCGGGGCCCCCCCCCTCCGAAAATCCCCCCCCCCCCTGCTCGAACCCTCCCCCATCCCCTCCCCCAACAAGAACCCCCCCCAACCGCCCCCCTTCCGGAAAACCGACGAGGGGGGGTCACTACTGGTTCGAACCCCCTTCCCCCACTGGCCCGCCGGCAAACGACTCCCGGGTCCCCACCACCGTCCTCACCACCGCCCTCACAACTGTCCCCACCACCACCGCCCCCACTGTCCCCACTGCCCCCACCACTGTCACACTGCTTCCACTTTTCCCACCACACTGTCCCCACCAGTGCCCTCACCACTGTTGCATTGTCCCCACTGTCCCCACCACTGTCCCCACCACGGCCCCACTCTCCCCACTACCCCCGCTGCCCCCACCACTGCCCCACTGTCCCCACTGTTCCCGCCACTGTCTCATTTTTTTCCCCCTCCCCAGCGAACCCAGCACCCGATGCCCGTCCAGGGGCCGGACAATTTCGATTGAGCGTCAAATCCGCTTCCCCTCAAGGGGGCTATAACCGCACCAACATATGACTCGCTCGCGGCAAGGCTGCACATTGGCCGGCCGGGTAAACGTCACCACATTCAGGGAGGAAGGGGGAGAAGGACGAGGACGAGGAGGGAGAATGGGCCGCGTGCCTGTCAAAAAGGCTGACCCGAGCATCCGCTGCTAGGAACCTCGGCCATGGGCAGAAGTGAAAAAGCACCGGCGGCAGTAAAAGGAAGGGGGGGGGAGGGGCAGGGGCGGAGGGGAACGGGGGACGAGGGATAATAACGAAGCGTCTGGGCCAATTCGGATGCATTAAACCGCGGCGTGTGCGCATCCCCATATGACCGAATGTCCATTCATATAAAAGGGCATCACACCACCGCAAGCAAGGAGCCACAGTACGGCACAGCACGCAGCAACTGGTAGGAACAATCCATGCATCCCAGTCTGCTAACAGCTGATATATTCGCAATCGCTAAATCCACGCGCTCGGAAGGCCCGCGAGCACGGATGGGACATAGCAGTGCTATAAATCTGGGTGCGAAGCACGCGCCAGAATCTGGATGAAATCGGGCGGCCTCTGAGAGACAACACCTCGCCGAAGACACTGTGCAAACCTCAGGCGGACCAAAGAAATCCAGGGCGGCCTGCAGAATTGGGCAGTGCTGGGAGAGGAAGCGGCCTCTGGCCCGCGTGCAACCAGTGAAACGGCACCAGTTGGGAGCATAGAGCAGGGAGGGGGGGAGCATGGCGGGAGAAACACGACTCCAATGTGTACGATGTCCTGCGCTGCGCCCAGAACTTCCCCCTGGTGCGCGACCGCCGCGCAGTCGCCACCAACGGCTATAAATGCAGCCGCCGTGCAGCCGCCACGAGTGTCTCAGGCGCCACCCCCGAGGGGGGGCCGCAAGCCCCAGAGGAAGCAGGGGACCGCCACGACGGGGGAGGAGCGAAGGGAGGGAGGCGAGGGCAGGCGGAGAGGCCAGGGCAGGGACAGGAGAGCCAGAGGGAGGAGGGAGGGAGAGGAGCGGCCCCCTGCCCCCCCAAGGCGCGGGGCCCCGGGGGGAGCGCGTGGCCCGCGCCACTGGGCTGCCAGCCGCGCCGACGGCCCATCCCGGCCAGCCGAACACGGACAACAGATCCTGCCCCCCCGGCGCGTCGGCGACCTGCTGTCCCGGCCGCGTGGCCGATGATGGGGCCACCGAAGCAGGTGAGTAGCCGGCACCAGGAGGGGAGGAGGGGGGGAGGAAGCGGAGGAAAGGGGACAGGAAAGAGGGGCCGATCGCCCTCGCCTGGCACATGCCGCCCTGCTGCGCGCGGACGTGGCTGCCGCCGCGCGGCGGGCCCGGAGGAACCCTTTTGAGTACATCGAATTGTGTAGCAGGCTCAATGAATATAGCACCGCAGCCCATACATAGATGGCCACACGCGACTGCACGACAAAATGATGCCAGTTCGCTCCTGTCGCGCACGGGGCCGCCCACACGCAAAAACCAGCGATAGCCCTGGACTCGGGAGCTCCCGAAGCGACCGCGAACGTTGCAAGGTTGTCCTGCGAACGTGGCCGAAACTCTGGCCGCGCACTCGCGCGGAGAGGGGGGAAGGGGAAGAGGAGAAAAAAAAGAGGGGCGTCTACCATTGCACGCGAGAGGCTCACCGCCAGCGTGTGTCCATCACCGCGGCGGCCCAGCGGTGCCCTTGAACGGCTTCCCGGACGGCTTGCTCCAGCGCGCGTCGCACCGTGTGCTCGCCGTTCAGGGCCGCTCGCTGCTGGCGAAATTTGCAGTGCATACGGTACGCCGCAGCCACCCGCAGAGCCCCGAGCGTCAGCCGAGCATCCGTGACCTCGGACTGCGGCTTCAGCAGCAAGAAATCCTGCCGCCGCGCGTCGCGGTCTTGCCGGTACGGCAGCCGCAGGTGTCCCGCCCCGAACTCGGACTCGGCCAGAGCGCGACATACCGTGACGTGCTCCACGGAATCCCCGTCCTCGAGGCCGCAGAACAAGCAGGCTGCGCGCCCGCCGAAGCGCCTGGCAGTGCACCAACCCGACCAGAGCGTGCGCCAGACTGCAGCCGCAACTCGGGGAGGAACCAAGGCGGCGAGCCGGTGAAGGGCGGCCACTGCCCGCTGCGCTCGCAGCCGCGGGAAAAGTGCCACCTCCCAATGCTCGAACTTGGCGCGCATGCGCACCTCCGGCACCCGCCGCTCCCGGGTATTCTACGTTATTCACCACGTTGTTTTTGCAACATATGCCGTCACGATTGCCCATACAATCGACCATGTCCAAAGGAACAAAGGAGGGAGAAGTCAAACCTTCAAGTGGTTCCCGCCTTGCGTGGCTGATCAAGGGTCCATGGTCGCGCTGCCGTGCCGGCCGCCTGGCACTGTGCCTCAAGGAGCGTGATGCCTTGCCGCCTGAGCGCATCGGCGTTGTCCCGCGGCGTTGTCCCGCCACTGTCCCTCTGTCCCCACCGCTGTCACACTGTGCTGTCCCACCGTCCCCACTGTTACCACCACTGTCCCACTGTCCCCACCACTGTCCCCACTGTACCACTGTCCCATTGTAGCACCACCGTCCTCACCACCGCCTTCACCACTGTCCCCACCACTGTCGCACTGTCCCCACTGTCCCCACCACTGTTCCACTGTCCCCACTGTTTCCGCTGCTTTCCCACTGCCCAGTCCCCACTGTTCCCATCACTGTCCCACTGTCCCCACTGTCCGCACCACTGTCCCCCCTGTACCACTGTCCCATTGTCCAACCACCGTCCTCACCACTGTCCCCACCACTGTCCCACTGTCCCCTCGCCACTGTCCCCACCATCACGGTTCCCAGCACTGTCGCACTGCCCCCACTGCCCCCGCAACTTTCCCACCGCTGTCCCCACTGTCCCCACCAGTGCCCCCACCACTGTCGCACTGTCCCAACAGTCCCCGCCACTGTCCCCACCACGGTGCCACTCTCCCCACTGTCCCAATTGTGCCCACCACTGTCCCACTGTCCCCACCACTGTCCCACTGTCCCCACTGCCCCCACCACTGTCCCATTGTCCCCACTGCCCACACCGTTGTCCGCTGCCCCCACTGTCCCAATTGTCCCCAGTCCCTGGCGGCGAGAAGGGGGGGTGTTGAACCGATAGTCACACCCCTCCTTTTCATGATGGACCCAGGGGGGCGGGCGGGTTTGGAACCCCCATGACCCCCCCAATGTTCGAGGGGGGGAACGGGTTTGAAACCCCCAATGCCCCCCCTCGGTTTTCTGCCAGCAGCGGCAGAATACGCTCTTTCAGAGGTCTCCAAAACAGCCCAAGAGGCCCCCAAGAGGGCCTCCAGAAAGGCCCGAAGAGGCCACCACCATTGAGTGTCCCTAGGTGGTTTGAAGGATTTGGGCATGTGTTTCATTTCTGCCTTCCGACAACTCAAGGCGGCCCAAGAAGCCTCCGAGATCGCCCGAAGATCGCCCAATAAGCCTTCAACATGGCCCCAAAACGGCTCAAGAGGCCCCCAAGACGGCCCCAAGAGGGCCCCAAGAGGCATCCAAGACGCCCGACATGCTCTCCAAGACGGCCCTGGAGCACCCCAAGAGGACCCCAAGTCGGCCCAGAGAGGCCCCCAAAACGGCTTCGGACGGCGTCAGACGCGCCAGGAATGCCCTAAGACGGCCAAAGAGGCACCCGAGAAGCCCCAAAGGCCCCTCAAGAGACCCAAGGAGGCCTCCAAGATGCCTCCAACAGGCTCCCAGAGGCCCCAAGAGTTGGCCCCGGAGGCTCCCAAGATGCTTCCTCATCCTTCTCCTCCTCCTGATCCTCCCCGCCATCCTCTCCCAAGTGTTCCCCGCAGGATTTCCACAACGGCCGGAGGAACACATGGTCCGATAGATTGGCAGAGCTCTTGCCACAACGCTCGGCCAGGTGATTCGCCGCCAGCGTCTTCGATAAACACATCAGACGGATATTGAATTACATGCCGCTGTTAGCTGGCACCTGCTCGTTTCCGAGCCGTTGGCCTGTGTGGCCAGCCTCAAACTGCTCGTTTACGGATTCAGATTGTACATGCCCTCGAGGATGGCGCTGGAATGCTGGCGCAAGGTTCGCATAGTCGGTAACACGCCGTGTTTCGCCGTAGGGAACAATCAAGAGGGCGGGAGCCAGCCTGAGAAGGCCAGCTCTGCTCTACCAAGTCGAACGTATCCATCCTGAGTCATAGTACGATGTAGATGGGATAAGGCTGATGCACTTGAACAGAGGCAATATGGGGAGCGCGTGCCTCGCGAACCCGAAACAACGGCGAATATGAAGACTCCCATGAGCCCCTCATCAGTTTCCCGTACTATAAATATGTGTGTGTATGTATATATATATATATACACAAAAACAAGCAAGGGCAAAATCCCCCTTTGGCCCCATAAGCGCCCAGGTGCACGAGGAACGCTAGAGAGGAACAGCGCACCCTTTCCGAACCCAAAGTGGTCCTTCTTTCAGCGTCTTGACTGTATGGACGCCTCCCAGATGAGGTTCGAGTAAATGGGGTCCGTGGATCGCGCCGCATCGCCGATGCATCGCCGATGTATCGGTGACGTCGGCGATGTATCGGCGACGTCGGCGTGGATAAAATCGGGTATCACACAACGCCGCATCGCCGATGCGTCGGCGATGCGGCGCGATCCACCGACCCCATCAACTCCGACCCCACCGTGAGAAAATGCCCCGCCCTTTCTTCCAGGTCAGCTTCGAACCAAGTCGGAATTCTTTCGGCAGCTCTAGTCACTAGTCCAAGACGGTCCAGAAGGCCCTGAAACGGCCCAAGAGCTCTCCAAGACGGCCCAATACGCCCTCAAGCCGACACAAGTCACTCGCAGCCAAAGCGCTTCAAGAGAGCCCAACAAAGCAAACTACTTCGTCCCAATTTGGGCAGCCTGGATCTCGCGGTCTTGGCCGTAAGCACCACAACTCCCCCAAGTGCGGCTAGACCACCTCGGCCCCTTGCGCGCGCAGGGAGCCTCGGCGGCAGCCGCGGCGGCGGCTGCCGTCGCCAGTGGCCAACGACCGGGCCAGCGGCCGCGGGGCGAGGCGCACGGCCGCGGCGGCGCCGCAGAATCGCAGAGCCTTCCAAGAGAGGGGGGGAAGGCGCTGGCTTCTCCCGAAACGGTTTCGCCCGCGACGGTTTCGCCCGCAGGCGAAACCGACCGGGCGAAAACCTCCCAGGCGAAACCTTCACCAAGCGAAACCGTCACTGGGCGCAACTGTCCCAAGCGAAACCGACCGAGCGAAACTGACCGGGCGAAAACAAGGGAAACAGACAAGGCGAAAACGACTGGAGGGCGAAAACGTCCCGGCCGAAACAGACTGGTCGAAACCGCCCCGGACGAAACCGACATGGCGAAACCGACCGGGCGAAACCGTTCTTGGCGAAACCGACCCGTGCGAAACCGTCCCGGGCGAAACCGACCGGGCGAAACCGACCGGGCGAAAACCATCGGGCGAAAGCGAATGTTGGGGGGCAGGGAGGAGGGAGGAACGACCTGGAAAAAAGCCGACGGAAGTGGAGGATGGAGGAAGAGGAGAGGGAGGAGAGTGAGGAGAGCGAGGATGATGAGGATGATTGAGGAGGGGAGCGAGGACGAGGATGAGTACGAACGAGAGGGATGGGAAAGAGAATGAGGAGGCGGAGGAGAGGAAGCATTTACTTTTTTGTTGTTTACCTTCAAACGGCAACGTGATGCAGCTGATTAGCGCAAGTCGCTTATGGTCACCCCGCCGTGCCCTCAAGGGGCCTCTTCGTCTGCGACGGCTCACAGCTCGGCCAGGCAAGAACTACGCAAGACCGCCTGCTACCTTAAAAGGGTGACCACGGAGCGAGGCCCGGCGGCCGCTGTGGATCATCCTACAACTTTCGCGCCGATGCCAGGGAAAACGGAAGAAAAAAGAGGGAGGAGCAGGAGGAAAAACGAGGCACACGAGTCGGAAATCACCATCCCGGCCCCAGAATTGGGCAATGGCCCCGCGCTCGGACACGAGCAGAGCTCAGCAGGGCGGAAATCCGGACGGTAATAGCGATACGAATTACCCTCAAGACGTATCGGCGCCACACAGGCAACACGAAGAAACGACTGAAACGACAGGTGCGGAGACTAAAGCCGGGAATTACAACGCAAACAGCACAGAAGAAGCGGAGCCACAAATCCGTGGCGCGCTGGAGGGCTGCCGGACGCAACCTGCTGAGCACAAGTAGTGGCATGCCGGGCGGAAGCAGGGAGGGGAAGGAGGGGGAGGAAGAAAAAGGGAAAGGACACCACGCGCGCGCGGACTCGGGGCGGCCCACTGTAAGGGAGCGGCTGGAGAGACGGGGCAACCTGTCGATGACCTCTCTCTGGGGCAGCAACCCTTTTGGTTCCCCTGGAGACTGGAGGGGCCATGAACGACCACGAACTCGCCCCGTCATCGCAGGGACGTGCAGATGCCCGCAGCGCTACGCCCGCCCCTAGGCCGGCGTGGCTTGGGAGAGGGAGGAGGGAGGGAGGGGGCGGACCAGGGACAACACCGTCACAACAACTGGTACGACTGAACGCGGGCAGGCGGAAGTGTGGTGACGTGCACCTTAAAGGGAAGGCCTGGAGCCCGCCGTCACGGACCAGGGGAACTCCTGCACAGGCCGAGCCCCCATAACGGGGCCGCGGCACGCTGCCTCAGCAACACACCGAAGCAATACGCTGCGGCCCCAGTAGCGCGGCTCGCGATCAGCAAACAGCACGTCCGGAAAGCGACGCCGGCACTCGCGGCCACCAGGCCTGCGGCGTATATCGCCAGCGGCATCCGTGCGGCCTCCCAGCCACGGAATCGCAGCAAGCGGAACACATTCAACCATGCCAGATGTTGCCACTGCCCGCCTCTTCCTTTGAAAGCTGGCGGATGGGGTTCGGCCCGACCGGCCCGAGGCGCTCTGGTCGGGAAGTTCGAAGCCCGAACTCAATGCTGTCAGCAATCTCATAATTGCGGCATCGTCGTGCCAGCGGCGGCCAGCAAAGAAGACTGCAGCACTAACGATGCTGCCGTGCACGGCCTCCCTAGGCCAGGGGGGGGAGGGTGCAGGAGGGGAGAGGGTGAGAGCAGAGAGAATAATAAGCTGCACTCGTTTGCAACACTTCTGGTTGCCCTGGGGGCGGGCGGGGCCACGCCTGACCACGC